AAACAGCTTCATTCGAGGGCTGCCAGGCCTCTCTTTCTAAAATACGAATTCCATTGCTAATTAAAATTAATCCAAACTGCATTCCGGCGACGACTTGCTGAAGAACTGAAAGATACAGATAAGAATTAACATTAATGTAATATACAGTCAAATTTTGCTTAACGAACACTTTTTATAAAGAATGATTCTCATAACGAGTAAAACGAAATGTAAGAAATGACTCTTTTAACGAGCGATGTTTCGCGCAACGAGTGACGTGGAGACTTCCAGACGTCATATGCAGGATACTATCTGCATCTCGACTAGAAGCTTTGGCCGAACAGCCTTTTCGAATGCGACTAAGGGGTTTCAGCAAGTGCCCGTGGAGCCTTCGTAGTCGCATTCGAAAAGAAAAAATGATCATACAAGGAATATATTTTTAATACTAGTACTAATACTAATAATAACAATCATGGTATCTGCTGGAATGCATTGCTTACCTCAGAAACAGAAACGGTGATGCCTAAACTTTGAAATTCGACTCCTAGATATTTCAAGGGAGAGGGAATGAAATAAATGCGGACCGTGGAACGGCGTTTTCAAAATTTGATTTAGATTGTCTATTTAAAGCAATTTTTTACTGGTATTTCCTATGCAGCCCTTGATAACTCTCTAATTAATCGTCGTAGAGTGTCGATCTTCATAGCATGGAATAGACTGGAACATTATGTTCCAAATGAAGGTTATTCCAAACATCTAATAACATTCACAGAATTTTAACGATTTTTTTAAATCGATCTATGTGTATTTTCGAGCGCCATGCCTCTAATATGTTTTAATTCTAACGTAAGAAAATCTACGTCTCATAACCTCTTGAAATTTTTACAAAATATAGAAGTCACCCTTCGCCATGTTTTAAAATATGAATGATGAGAAATATTAACCAAATGCTTTTATAAAACATGCTTTAATATATCCAACGTACAAGAGAGTGTTTTTTTTTACTTCTCTGAGAACATGACTTCTGTAGCAAATGGTAGACTTCACACACCTTTTAACTTTCGTAGTTTTCATTCAGTAATTTTTTTCTATTATTTTGTGTATTTCTTAGGAGTAGTTTCTTTTTCCTGTAAGAGAAAGTAATATATTACTAACTTCATAATAAAGAGAAATGATTAAAGTGAAATAAGTTTAAAGTATATTTAATAAGAACCTTCCTTTTAAATATTTTTCCATGCAAAAATTTAACTACTTTCATCGAATTTTATTTTTTGAAAGTGAATGCAAGAGTAGTTATCTTGCACACTATCGATTATAACAAAATCAGTGATATGTTACTCATTATTAAGATAAAGATAGTTACCATCTGGAGCATTAACTTCCATTTGCAGCTGATTCAGAAAAAATTATATTTTTTGCATATGCCAACTCGAGTCAGTTGCTGATAGCACAATTTTATCTTGATGATGGTTGTTTCGCGCTGCTGTACTGAATGCAACAATAAATATAGGTAAAGCTTGGCTAGAGTTTTGATGACAAACTAGACAAATGAAGTGATAGATCAATTTTAAATAATAAAATCTTTTAATTATAACATAACTATTACGCATTTACTTAACGTAGATGATAACTGCGTCGGAAGAAAAAACCGATAAACGGTGGCGACGACGAAGCGTGAAGTGTTCTTTTTGTGGTTATAGTTAGAGGTACGGGCACACGGTTGTCATTGTCATTGTGACGGAGGACGTGGGCACCATCCCTTTACCGTTATGGTTAATTGGTAATAGCACCACGTCCACCCTTATCTAGAGACTAGTGGGACTACAGGTCATACATTACAGTACTTCATGTAATACATTACTACTGATATCGTACAATATAAATAAACCATACAATTTCCTACATATGCATGATACAGTATATAATCAAACAGGATTATTAAAGTATAATGCTGGTGCGTATACAGTTAAAATGCAAAAGTTAAGATGTAAAATACTAAGTATCGATTTAAGTTATATGACTAAATAATATTATATTATTCATGCATAAAAACCTTAAAAAATAAAATTAAAAAAATAATAAAATAAAAAAAGAAAAAAAGTACAATATCCTACTACATATGCATGATACAGTATATAATCAAACAGGATTATTAAAATCATAATGCTGGTGCGTATACAGTTAAAATGCAAAAGGTTAAAATGAAAAATACTAAGTATCAATTAATTATATGATTAAATATTATTATATTATTCATACATAAAAACCTTCAAAAAAATAAATAAATAAATAAAAAATAAATAAATAAAAATAAGTAAATAAATAATGCGCTGTATATATATATATATATATATACATAGAATATGCCATACAAAATAATACACATACACATTAGGAGCAGAATGTGGAATATAGGATCATATAAATACAGGATCAAGTCGTGAGGATCATTGAAAAGTACATACTTAATGTGCTTCACAAATTCAGCCATAAGTATCATTCATACAAACGTAAGCATTCTGGAACAACAACAAAAACCAATAATGGTGTACCCTCATATTTGCTACAATACACTACACTGGTACAGTAATTTCTTATGAAATATTTTACTTTTACATTTCAGAGACACAAAATTTGATAGAATTTGTACTGAGTGACTATTTGAAAGGGTACGTTAAGACTGTGGTAACTAATAAGCAAAGTAAACATATTGTTTTTCATAGGGGGTGCATAAGATACAGTACAATGATCATTTCATTAGATCAGTCCGTTATAAGAATATCACTAAAATCTATAAATGTAGCATTAAACCAGAGTTTACCACGAAGATTATGTACTTTGCATCAATACATTATGCCTATGAATGCTACACCTGGCACAGGTCTATTCCAAGACCTTTAACCTTTTCCATAACCTTGTTAATTTTATTAATCAAGTGCCTCTGCTTGATTAGAAATTTGCAAAAGGCTTGACGATTTTGCGAAGGGAATCTGATATGTAAGCCTTCTGTAAGAGGGCATTTTTCAAGGTAATGCTCCGGAGAGCCTAACTCTCCGCAGGTGCAAAACTGGAATCGCTTATTTTAAATCTCTCAAAATAAAGAGGAAAAGGGCCATGCCCTGAAATATAACGTGTCAGATGGGGATTTCCACAGCATCTATCTTGTGTAACGTAAGAAATATGGTAATAAGTACGACGACCAGTGGTACTATAATCCCATTCTTCTTGCCACTTACTGATTGCTTTGAGACGTAATGCAGATTTCAAATGTGAATGCGGCCAAGGTATGTGAATTTGTTCAGCAGCAATTCCAAAAGCGGCCTCCTTGGCGAGAGTATCTGCAACTTCGTTTCCATATTCACCCATATGTGCCTTTATCCAAGCTAAGTGGATGTCATGGCGTTGATATTTTCTAAGATCTTGTTGAATATCTCTAATGATTTTGGATGGGTGTTCTGGATTACTAATCGCATAAATAGCTGAAAGGCTATCAGATTTTATAGTAGCCTTTAGGATTTGGTGGGTTAGCAAGTAGCGAATAGCTTGCGCTATTGCTACTGCTTCCCCTTGAAAGACACTGTTATTGTTAGCCAAATGGCCCTTCCATTGTGCAATGACACTATTTTCTTGTAAAACAGCAAATGCGCTCCCCACATTTCCTTCAATTTTAGATCCATCCGTATAAATTACTATACTCGAGGGGCTACGGTATTCTGTAGGCGGGACATGTAGTCTAATGCCAACACCATAATCCGCAGGGTGAATGCTGTCAGATGTTAGTTTGGTTTCATATTCCTCCGAAGTAAAATTTTCTTCAGCAAATGCTATTGGCTTGTGTAGCTGTATTAACATTTGTCGTGCTGCTTCCTCCTCAGTTCTAATATGCAGTGGGAGCAAACCAGCCAAGACATTTATTGCATCAGTGGAAGTAGTAATATATGCCCGAGTTATTGCCTAAGGCAAAAGGGCGCTGAATAGTAGAGAGATGCTTGATTTTTCTCCTCTGCATAGGGAGAGCCCAAATTGCTGCTGCATAAGTTACTAACTTTTCTACAACCGTTGTGTATAAGATCTTTTGAATGTGGTGGTTCAAACCCCACTTGTATCCATAAAATTGTCTTAGTTGTTTGGCGATGGCCAGGGTACGCTTTTTAATAGAGAGAACATGAGGAATCCACGTAAGTTTTTCATCAAAGGTAACACCAAGATATTTTAATTCTTTTACAATTTTGAGCCTCTGACCATTGAGTACAATACGCGGTCTCCTTGCCAAAGAGCCTCCCTTCTTAGGCACCAGTAAAATTTGACACTTATTTTCTGCTATGACTAATTTCAGTTCGTCACAATTTCGCTGGAAAATTTGACAGGCCTCATTGCAGTTCTTTTGCAATTCTTCACGAGAATGTCCCTTGACAACCAAGGCCGCGTCATCGGCATAGGCAAAAATGTTCGTATGCGCAGGCCAGGAAGCATTGAGTAGCTTATTGAAGGTTAAATTCCAGAGTTGAGGACCTGCGCAGGAACCCTGCGGGCATCCTCTCGTCTGTGACTTTTCAATAATTCCCGCTGAATGTATAATCATTATTCTTCGATCCTGTAGATAATGATTTATAGTATTAAAGATATTGCTTGGGCAGCCAGAACTTCTTAGAGCCTGCAAGATCGCTGGCCACCATAAGTTGTCAAATGCACTCTTCAGGTCTAAGCTGATGAGTGCTGTATGGAGACCGTGATATTTGTTGTCCATGATAGCCTCTTTGATATCATGCAAAGCGTGTAAAGTGGAAGTTCCTGGCCTAAATCCATATTGCCTGGGACTGAGGATATTATTAACGTGTAGATAATAGCGTAGTCTGGTCATAAGGAGTTTTTCAAACAGTTTACCAAGAGCCGGAAGTAAACAGATTGGTCGGAAAGATGTGGGTTCCGCTGGATTGCGATCTTTTTTCAAAAACAACACCACTTGTCCGATTTTAAACGATTTCGGGAATGTACCCGTAGCTAGTAATTTATTGAAAAAGCTAACAAAGATTGTTAGCTTGGCCAAAACGACTGGCCAAAACGACTGTTTTAACGATTGCAAAATCAATGCCATCAGGGCCAGAGGCCTTTTTCTTTGGCAAATGCGCTAATATATGTTTTAGTTCTTTCAATGTAATATCCCTATCCGGTGGCACGTTGGTAGACATCTGTTCTGTACGTATAGTTGCTTGTTGCTTAGAATCTTCGGTTGGGTCATCCTGACTGAAGACGGAATCCAGGATCTGTATTAATGTTTCCCTTGTGTAGTCCTGAGTAACATTTATTCGTGTAGGGATGTGTAACTGGGCAGGCCTAAACAGCTTTCCAGTCATAATCTTATGATGAATACCATAGATGTTTTGTGACTCTGTACAAAAAGCATGCCATGAATTGATTTTAGCCTGCAAAATTGAACGTTTGTACTTCGCTCTTGCCTGTTGATAAATTGGGAGGGTCTTAGCTGGAAGGTTTAGTCTACGCTCAGTCTTTAACCTTCGACGTAATGCGCGACATTGCCTCTGCTGAATACGAAGTTCACTACTCCACCAATTGATCGTAGTCAGTTTTTTAGTACTACGCTGTGGCAATATGTCATCACACGCTTGCTGTATACACTTTTGTAGAGTCACTGTGAAATTCTCCAATTCGTCTCTAGAGTTCGCTTGAGTTAGCTGTTGTTCAATACCTTCAAACAAATTCTTGACTCTAGTAGTAAAAGCACGTTTACGCCTACCAGGTAGGTTGTAACGACGAATAATATTAATTGTCGTCGGTTGCTCTATTGAGAAAGTAATGTAACGATGGTCGCTTAAGCTAATTTCATCATTAACCCTCCAATTTTGTATTAATGGCGCAGCTGAGGCTGAACTGACCGTCAAATCAGGCCAGCCTTGTGCGTAGATTCTGTCATATGTCGGAGGAGCGTCTGCTGTGTTATGTAAAACAAGATGATTAGCAGACAGAAAATCCTCCAGAAGGCTTCCTTTGTCATTCGTAGAAGCATACCCCCAAACCGTGTTGTGGGCATTATAATCGCCTGTAATTATTTTAAGAGGAATTTTAATCTTTTGCAGGGTATCTGTAAGAAACTGTGTAGTAGCCAAAATATCTGCAGAAGGAGGAGAGTATTGTGAGATAAACAGTAAAGATGCTTCTTGTGCTTCTATAATGATTGCAACATTATCGCGTTCAATTGCTACGATAGCCGGAGACCATTTTTTGTTGCAGTTAATAATAATGGCCCTAGGAGGATATTCTACATTTCCTTGTTGATAAATTGTCCATTGCAATGGAAATCCCACTGCAATTCCGTCTCGCGTGTAAGGTTCCTGAGCCATTATCAGGTCAGCACCAAATTCTGCTGCAAATTGTGCTAGTTGAGCAACTGCTGCTTTTGCTCGCTGTAAATTTGATTTGTATACATTTGATAGATAATGTACTGCATATTGTATCTTTATTTATGACGTTTGATAAATCAAGATTAGCAGTATTCTGTATTATCTCGGATTGACTGTACCTTGCGCTGGTATTGTGGGCATTCTGGAGCATAGGCTGGATGGAAGTAGCTGTATTTGGTGCCATAGCGGGAGTTGGCCTCACCACAGTTGATACACTGTGGTTGTTGGGCTGTGCAATCACGGTTCCCATGTTCTTCTGCACAGTAGGAGCAATATTGTTTTCTACTTCTGCAGTCAGCTTGCTTATGCCCATATTGCTGGCATCTAAAACATCGCTGGAGGCCAATATGCTCTGAGACTCTATGAGCCTGCCAGCCGAGGAAGATTTTTCTGTGCTGCATGATGGCTGCAAAGCCTGTCGGCTCACACTCAAAAACCCACTTGATTTTGCCTTTACGACGTTCTTGTAATCGGAATAGGGGTTTAAAGGTGGTGCTAGGCATTCCAGTGACGCCGCTGAGTTCTGCGAGTACTTCTTCTGATTGTGTGGATACCGGCAAGTCATGGACGGTGCATCTTGGCTTACGTTTCCATGGACGGGTGACTTCCGCTGGGATATCTTGTTGTTGAAGCTGTTGTTGTTCGAGGATTTCGACATCTTCAGTGGATTTACAGACAACCTCGAAACCTCCTTTGTTGAGCTTAGAAATTCTTTCTATACCTGCCTGTAGCTTGGAAAGTGGTACTTTAGCGTTTAGCTGCGCCTTTAGCTCAGTCTCTGTGACGTCCGCTTTGGGACGTATGTATAGACTTGGATTCTTATGTTTCTTTATAATCTCTGCAAAAGTTGGTCGAGAAGCTGTTGGCAAAGGTGGAGGTGCCTGTAAATCAGGTGGTTGTTGTGCTATCGGTAGAGGCTGAGAGCGAGCCAATTCACAGCAAAGCACTGTTGATGTATTAACACCTGTGTCTATCTTTGTTGGCTTGGCTGCTAATTCTGCACCTTGTAAGGCCAGCGTCTGCAACGCAACCAGGGAGTCTAATAGTCTGGTGCGAAGAACTGTAGGTAAAAGATATTTAGTACTTCTGGTGGTGGCCGCTACCTGTCTAATATCCTCACACAAAATAGCTACTTTCTCTGCGTAAGGCAAATCAGAGGTCAATAAATTAGTGGCGTCTACGTCACTTTGTGAATGCGCGGAATCACCGTCAGTTGGAATCACTGATTGACAGGACATGCTGTCCAAGAACTTTCTCAGAGTTGCAAATTATCACACTCGTAGTGTAACTCTTTATCAAATACTTAACGTAAAACAGCTATTGCTTATTGCTGTATAACAACCAATATATGATAAAATTTGGTAACAATAGGTCCCTTTCACACCCAGTAACAAGAAATTACAGTAATTAAAACATGTAGTAGAATAAGTAAGATACTAAACATAATTAACAGATGAACTATGACTAAAAATTCTCTAAATACAATCAAACTGACTGATTTTTAAGTGCAAGTAGAAACATAAAAATACAAGTAATTAAAATACAGCAATTAATACAGTAATTAAAAGATTAAATAAACATTTGCAAGTAATTAAAGGTAAAATACAGAGTGCATAAAGATCAGTTCTCATGTAAAACACATCAAAAGCACGCAACTAGAGCTTTAAAACTAAATTTTTAGAGTTTGTCGAATAGTGTTCAAAGTTATCGAAAAGTTATTCGACGACGAGAGCTATAATGTCGAAACTGAAGATGAAAACGATGGAATGGAATTAAAAACACTATGCAAATCCTGTAAAAATGTTAAAAATTTTGAAAAAAAAAAAAAAAAAAAAAACATACCAGTTCTTGAAATTCCTGATTGCAATGGATCCGAAGATATATATACATATTTTAATTAAAAATTAATTTCTGGACATGGAATATTTGGCCGATTTCCTAGGCCTACCAGGGGAACCACGTGGTAGCTAGGCGGGACCCTTCCGTTGCTGTAGCTGTAGCGGCAGCAGAAGTGGTGAACAAAAACACGGTAAATTGCGACTGCCTATTTTCTTTTGTTAGAAGCACTAAAACACAAAAATCTGGAGAAATATCACTCACACACACTTAAACGATGTATCCAAGGATGCAGGAGATATTCACGCACATTTTGATATATAATACACACACGTCGCACTCAAAAACTTCCACTGAAAATTGGGCAAAAACCAAGAGCTCGGCGTGATGGCGTCCTTCCTCGTTGCATGCTCCGGCGATCTCACGGCAAGGTGGCATAACACAAGTATTGATCGGACATATTTTCAATACCGTGCTATTATATTATCTGGCACAGACTTAGTGCCTACAATGAACTATTGCTTTTTTAACTGGTCTCAGAGTGCACGAGTATATACCCTAGACAAGTGGTCAGCTTGTTTAGTCTCCAAGTGAATTCGGTATACTCATTTTCTCGAGGTTGAGTCAACCTTTCCCAGCCCTGGGATCGAACCTCGACCTTTGGTGCTGCTGCACGACGTGCTAGACACTGCGTTTAACTTTTTATTAATATATCAATTAAAATTATAATAATAACTTAATAATATTAATTTTTTCTGCTGAACGCAAGAGCAGATAAAATGTAAAAAATGAACCAAAAATAAAATGTTGAAAGAAATCATAAAAAAACTGAAAGATGGAAACTAAACATGACCAGAAAAAGAAAAAATGACGAAAACAGAAAACACGGAAAAAAACAAACAAAGAAGTAGGAACATAAGCTAACGAAATATATTTTATAAGAAACCAAACTTTAATCGCTTTAGTATAACTCTTTTTTCAGCAAGTCAACTTTCTATAAGTGCACCTGATAACCTCATTCCGCTTATTACCTCACTTTTTTTCAAAGTCCTTCAGTATCTCAATTATTAATCCATAGGATGGCAACTACTTGCGAGACGAGGTTTCGTGATTGTTTTTTGCGAAT